GACGAGGGCATCGAATTGGCCTGGAACCTGAGAAAAGGAGGTCGACCCCATCCGCGCAACCCGAGCAATCCCCGAATCACGAAATAACGATCGTATCACCAACAAATACCCCCTAAATCACCCACCATGAGCTCTTCGACGTCCTCAATCGCGCGCCGCGCCGACAGCCTCCTGGCTCCCGTCGCCCGCACTCTCCAGCACCTCGCCGCGCGCGACAGCTGCGAGCCCGGCGACAACAGCTCCCGCTGCGAGAAGCCCTTCGCCTCGTCCAAGATCATCGGCATCACCATCGGTATCACCGCGTACGTTCTCCCCCTCTCCTCTCCCTGACGAACCACCCCTTTTTACCTTTCTTCCCCTGGCCTCCCGCGTCATGCATTGACCAAAACCGGGATTTTGGCACTGCCTGGGCACCACCCTCCGTCAAAATGCAACGTTCCCGCGACCGTCCAAACTTTCCGTCCGAAGTCGAGAGAATCGAAGGCTAACCCATGACGTTGCAGCGCCGTTCTCATCATCGGCACCGTAGGAATGTTGACCTTCCTCCACATGAGGAGGCAACGTATTGAGCGAAAGGAGGATGCGGTCGACTTCGAGCTCGATGGCGACGTCGACGACCACCCGACGATGGGCAAGCCCCCCGCCTCGTGGCAGCGCAATAACCAGCGACCGCAAGAAAACCCGTTCGAGCCGCAGCCGCACCAGCAGCCGCAGGAGAATCCCTTCGAGCCGCCGCGACGGAACCAGGCGCACACGGCTGAGCTCCCGTAGATGGGGGCTTCGTGCCGCCTGGCGTGAATAATGTGTCGTTTATTGGGATGGCATCGAAGGGATTGCGTGGGACTGTTCTGTCTTTTGAAGGGGCCAGCACTGCATTAGCCATGCAGCTTGCGCTGCTGATATGTTGCTCTGGGGGCCTCTGACGACTTTGGTTTGATCAACTACATTTTGCGAGCATGGCGTTGCGTCGTTTCGTACCATTCTGTTCCGCCGATGGGAAGAGAGGGAGGCTTGGAGGGCCTATTACGAGTTCCATGGTCTTGCGAGTCGCTGAACCAACTCATTCAAGGCCCCGGCTTGCAGAAGTGCCGCGTTGGATAGGAGGAAGCTGGAGGTGGACGGGGATGTATTGTCACTATGTGCACCATGTACAAAGTCTGTGGCCCAATCGTGCTGCTGTCCCGTGATAGGGACAGATGCTAATCATGGAGAGAAAGGATGGCTCAGAGCTGTGGAGGGTTCCGCGCTAGCGGCCCTGGTGATGGGGAGGCTTGTTGTCTGTTTGAGAGACCGCGAGGCATTCGTGATGCTGCACGTCCAGCATAATTCAAAGCATTTATGACGTTTTCACTGTTGTGCGATCCTGCTGACATGTCCGTGAACCTGGGTCCTGAAGACTGCTGCGCATTTCGCTGGAAGAAACTCCGTCCATCCTAACATCAAGTCTTGGTACGTTAGGTACACATGCACAACTGATGGCAGTAGCTGACGTTCACATTGTCACGCTATTTCAGACGCTTTTTCAGCTGAGCTCCTCCAAGTGGTTGAATGGCTGTGTCTCTATCTGATTGACATGTCGATGTTGCATCGGCTGCCAGCATCTAGAAATCGGGGCCTACCGGACTCTGTGAAACGTTGTCGCTAGTCTATATACACTTGCATGAATCGCCTTCATACTGTTCCCGAACACGAATGTCACCTCCTGTTGTGTGAGAAACCGACAAGGCCGCGTCCAAGTAAGCCTGATGCCATAAATGCCCCCCACGACTCCTCTCGGAACACATCGTTCATCCGTTGACTTTCCGCGCGGTGCGTGTGTTGACGCGGCTTCCTCTTAGACGCAGACGTGGTTGGAGCAGGTCAAGCCCGAGCAGCACCGCATGTACATCGGGTTGGTGGGCGTAGTCGCGCAGCCACCTGTATTAGTGAAAGATTGTCAGATGGAATTCGACAACGACTCGGCTTGCGCAATTGGCAACTTACCTCCGGCCGTGACGCAGGCGCCGGCCTGGCGCTCCTGAAGCTCCCCTGCCATGACGGCGGCGGCGTTGACGAGGAGGGCGGCGATGACGGAGAACTTCATGTTTGAGGTTGGGTAGTGGTGACTTGGGGAAGTTGTCGGGTTCGGTGTGAGAGATGAGATGTTGGTATTGACGGGTTGCGAAGAGAGCCTTGATGCTGAAGGCGGGAGTGGTGATGCTATTTGTACCTTGGCTGAAATATCTGACTTCGACCTGGCGATCTCACGATAGCGTCGACGATAGCATCTCCTGGATCTCTCGTATAATTAATTTATCAGATCATCTGATTAGATGGCGTTCCCGGACAACGCCTGACGCGCGCGGCGTGGAGTTTGCGCGGGTAACGCACTTTCGCACCACAGTTGCTACTGATCACCTGGGCCGCCTGCTTTCACGAATACAAAGACGGTTGAATGCAAGAAAGGTGTAAAATGACTACTCTGCAGTGTTCGAAAGAGAGAATCGTTGCAGAGATGACGGTGCACCACGGAGGAAGATGTCTCCAAAACTTGGGGCCGTGATGTAGGAAATGGCTGCACAGAACCTCGTGTCTCTTTTTCTTCCAAGTAGTAATACTCCATACCGCTTTCACATGGCAGTATCTCAATTGGCTGTAAAATCTCGTATTGAAGCAAGGCTCCGGCATCGACAACCGGAGAGTTGTCAAACACAACGCGGCTGAACTCGACGCCATCAAACCCTGGTCACATTTGTTCCGGCTCCTAATCACCAGTGAACATGCCTCATGATCATTAAAGCAGTCTCAAACGCTCATGTCATATTTTTCTTGATCGTTTCCTAACTGAATATACTTCAAAATGGCAGGCGAGGCACCCCACGACGCTGAGCGAGTACGCTGCGTTTGAGATTTTGTGCTTCACGACGTCGTATTTGAGCACGAAACACCTGGCTGCGCAGACGATACTCACAACGACCTCAATTGTGGTCTGGCATGTGCCCTTCTCCATCAGCGTGTTCAGCAGCAGCCGCATCGGACACCTCGTCGGGGCGGGGCTTGTTGGGGCGGCGCGAAGGGCGGCGGTTGTGCATGGGGCGGGGTGTCTTGCGGCCGGGGTCTTGAGCGGGGCCGTGACGTTTTTGTTCCGGCGGGGTTGCCGAGGATGTTTACTGACGATGTTGAGGTTTTGAGGATTTGCGCGGAGACAATTGTCGCGGTGTGCTTTTTTCAAGTTGCGGAGGCGATGCTGTGCGGGACGAACGGGATGCTGAGAGGCCTTGGGCGTCAGTTGTTTGCGGCATATGTTGTGTTTGGAGTGAATTACCGTGGCCATCATCAACTTGGTTGATGCTGGGTAGTCTTCATTGGGGAATTCTTGGGTTTCGGGTTGGGCTGCCAGTTGGGTTCTGGACCATCGTGTGTGTACAGGCTGTGTATATGAGGGCGATTGGATGGGAGAAGTGTGTGGATGGAGGACGTATGTCAAATTAGTCTTGAGCTCTGCCTCGGTTTCTTAGTATGGTTAGGTCCAACATTTCAACTGTCAATTTCTTTTGTTGTCGACCTTTTCAATCCAAGGGCAGGCAGGTGCCATTACTAGCTTCCCTTCTTATCGCTGTCTCCCACCGTTGTCTTCTATCCTCGACCCACACCGTCATCCAGGGTCTCTGTCGTCCTGGGTCTCTCTCGTCCTGGGTCTCTGTCTCTGTCGGTATCGTTCCCTCTCATCGTCTCTCACCACCCTGCGCCTCTGTTTTCCATCGGCTCTCTCATCCCCGGCTGGCTCTGTCGTCCTTGTCGCCGCCGTCCCTCATCATCCCTCTCTGCCGCCTATTCTAAGGCTAGAAGATATGCCTCCCAGACGAGGCAACAAGCCCAGCTGGGCCTACGACGCTCACAAGAAAGCCGGGAAGGTACGAATTTATCTCAAAATCGCGCGATCCATCTAACTCCTTCCAGTTTCAAACCCGCCAGCCTCAGGAGATCCCGACACCAGTCCCTCCTCCCTTCCTCCCCGGCAACCCGCCGCCCATCGCCCTCCCCACCACTTGGCCGAGGTTCGAGATATTCGCCAGGCCAATCCCTCTTCAAAACGGCTTCTATGAGTTCGTTTATGTTCAAGTCCCAGAGATGATCGTTCTTGCCACCACACCCATTGAGTCTGGCGACCGGCTCAGACCCGCGTTCGTGAAGGAGTGGGAGCGATCCAACGAGATGATGCGGGGCCGCTATGGGAACCGCCTTCCGATCTGGATGCGGCCTAAGTCGCGTTGGCAGCGAATCGTGGAGATGGTGCCGAAGGGGGCGAAGGGTGAGGTCATGGTCCATCTTATGGCTCTTGTCGCCATCGGCCTCGCTATAGTTGGCATATTTGTGGTCTGGGAGGCTCGTAACCTTTCGGGCGTCCAAACCTGCAGGAAGTTCTGCTAGGCGGAGGTACACTGCGCGTGAATTCTAGACTACGAGGAGCAGGCCTTTCAGAGGGCAAGTCGATGAAATCAGAGGGAGGGATGTCAATCACGTTCTATTCTAAGGAAAGATGTCATGTTCTCATAGGGCGGAAGGCTAAGGCGGAGGCAGAGTGTGCGTTCGTGAACGCAGCACCAATAAGCGGCGATGCGCTTGAACAAAACCCAAAGGTGTTCTGTACCTTCCAGAAAGTAGATTTAACCACAAGTTCCCAGTGATAGGCTGAGGAGACTCAAAGTGGGATCTCAGTAAAATCAGACAAGCCCTTTGTGTGCGCACCTATTACGTCCTCGCTGCCCTCACCACAACAACAGACCTTCCTTTCAGCAACCTCCTTTCACGCAATCTCCTCCCACACAACAAAAACAATAGCGATATTGCACTTCTCTTACTCACCATCCCTCACACAAACCTTTGCTCCTTCATAAAATCAGACTGTGGCATTGTTTTGAATTGTTCTCTTGCAATCGCGCGCCACTTTCACAACAATCATCAAAGCATCAACAAAACAACGCTTGTCCACACGCTTGCCCTTGTCACATTCAGAAACAATGCTGCAACCCCCCGACAATCGCATGCAAGTTGACGACCAGGATGACTTGCGCGTAAGTCTTTTTGCATACTCGCACCAGAGCCATCCGCTAACCGCGTCCCTCATGCAGTACATCATGGACATGTTCCAGTATCACACGGCTGAGCTGACGGCAGCCAAGGACAACCTCAAACAGATGCAGTTGGCCCTCGAAGCCAAGTACTCCAAGCTGCAGAAGCTTCATGGTATTCTACAGCGATACGTCCGACAGAACCCTGGCATCCCTATTCCTGAAGATCTCCACTTCCGCGGAGAGAGAGAGCTCCAAGTTCGCACGGCAGGATCGGCCGACTATGAGGTCTACGTGCTCAACGCCGACATCAACCAGGATGAGAGCGGCAACTTGACTCTGGCTGGTCCACGCGACCACCCCGACGTGGGACAGACCCAGCGCGCCCGCAGTGGTAGCCTCCCCCGCGCCCGAGTTTTCGCGCACGGGATGCCTCGCGATGAGGTTGACCGGCTCACCGCCCTCTACGAGAATCAGTCGCAGAGCCCTCCTGCCACTCTCACTGACATCCACGAGCGCGCTCACGCCCACGCCGCTGCCCATGCTTACAACGACGACGCCGAGAGCGTCCAAATCGCTGAGGCCGTTGAAGTCCCCCAGGCCGACGCCGCCGAGGCTGTTCAGGTTCCTCAGGCTGCTCGACCCGCAGAGCAGGTCCAACTCTACGAGAATTATGGAGGCATCAGTCCTGATCCCACAGGCCGCAGACGTATCGAGAACCATCCTGGATACTCCGACCTCGATGTCTTCCAGCGACAGGAAATCGCTGCAAGTTGGATGCGCGGGCTTCCGCCGAATGATCCCCTTCAAGCCATGGCCCCGCCCGCGGCTGACCCCCACGCGTGGCTTCAAGATAACAGCCCGCCGCAGATCAACTCCATCACGCGGCCTTCACCTGACGTGCGAACCCTCTATTCTCGTGAGAGATACCCGGCGAGAGAGTACACCCCGAACCCCCCGTACCCCCCGACAATGACGCAGGAGTTCAACCGGCCCATGAGACCCCGCTCTGCGGCTGATTCCTGGACGGGTGCCCAGTACGTCTATCCCGAGGAGCCGTACATGGATTTACTTGGCAGGCTGGTAGCACCGGACGGTCCGCCATCCGAACGGGAATTCATGGAGATGCTCAACTTTCCCGGCGACGCCGCGGACTACACGGTTGCGGAGGACTTTGACAAAACCTACCGCGAGGAGAACGACATCGAGGATGCCTTCATCAAGGAAGAGGGCACGGATGGAGACGACTTCTACATCAAGGAGGAAGACTCCGACGGAATGGACATGGAGGGAGTCCCCATCAAGGAAGAGAACACCAACGGCAGCCACATTAAGGAAGAGGAGATGTGGTATGGGGTCATGGATAACGCATACTGATTTCGCCGACGGGGACTGTTTGATTACTTTGTTTTGAGGATACTACACTTTGGGCATTGGCTTCATCTGCGATTTGGGTGGACGAAGAGATGAACCGCTGGACACTTGCTGCTGCTGAATTTTGGGCAGATCGAGGCACGGCAGACTGTTGCCTCTAAAAATAGGCACTTGATAGCAAACTTGACTTTCTCTCACATTTGATCGTTCCTTCCCTAAAGATTTGGCGTGGAATCGCTGAAGTGAGTCCAAATCAGGGCTTCTCTCACCTTCTGAAAACTCTGCCAAAGGCATTGACCAGTTCTTGCAAGTGCTAGAATTTGAAGTAAAGCAGAATATTTATTTATCCATTCGTCGAAGTACCTCTGTTCTTGAACAGTGTCAAGATCTTCAAAACTGCCTTTGATAGACCACCAGCGAACTGTTGCCTCTATCACAACGACTTCACGCGTGGAACAGCCATCACCAGAACAGGCACCCACCACTCAATCTCACCACTCCAGCGTGTCATACCTACTCAAAGAGACAAATACCACCACAATCTTCTCCATCTACTACTCGTTGAAGCAGAGAAGATGCTTCAGCCTGCTCCTGACCCGTACCTCCACATGGAACAGAGCGACATCGAGGTATCCAACTTCTCCTCTCCCTCCCCCGCTCCATTCCTTCCTCCAACCTCCCCCCCTATTCGAAACTCCCACCGGCCTCAACAACTGACACCATGAACCGCCTCCAGCAAGCCGTCGCAGACTACCGCCGCGCCGTTACCGAGATGCAAACCCTCAAGCTCCGCTCGAATATGGAACACAGCATCCGCGAGACGCGCCTCCAGCAGCTCGAGGACCGCGCCGACGCCGCCCTCGACGAGGCGCACGCCATGCTCGAGCTGGCCGACATGCAGTACGCCGACTTCCTCGCCGCCAAGAAGCGCTGCGACGACGTGCGCCAGAAATACACCTCCGAGCGCCGCGAGCTCATGACCACGCACCTCGAGATCGGCCACATCCGCGACGTCCTCCTGGAGCAGCGCGAGGCGGTAGCCAGGGAGGCGAGGGAGCTCCAGGAGGCGCGCAAGGTGGCTGCTGATAGCGCTGAGCAGCTTGAGGCCTGCTTGGTGAGGGAGAAGGAGCGGCTGGATAAGTTGAGAGTGAAGGTTGAGGCAAAGGAGAAAGCTGTCTTGCGCAAGGAGGAGAAGATTGCTGAGGAGAAGGGAAAGGTTGAGGAGGCGAAGAAGGAGGCGGCCAAGGGAGGAGTTTGGGGATACGTGATTGCTATCAGTGAGCGCCGCAGCATTTGAGGATGTGAGCAGTGGCAGAAAGGAGACATGAGACGCCTGGGACGGCACATCATGTTACACGTTAGAGGAGAGACATCAATGACTGTTGGAGTACACACACGACGGGACCGAAAAGTTCAGGAATGGAGTTACTGTAAATCACAAGCAATAATTATCTCATACCGCGACAGTGATGCTTCGTAGAGCTTGAGCTTAGAGCCTGATCATCTGTCTGGATGTGATCGTCCGATATCGACGTCTTGATTCAGCGAACAGAACTGACGGGTATATGAAGAATGCCCCAGACCGCTTTCGTCGCCTGCGTGAATTCACATCCATCACACCATTTACCTACTCACGACGAAAGGATCACCAAATCACATGGGCAAAATGGGAGCCAGCACTGCAAGTAATGTACGTCTCCGTTCTGTGTACGGGTGATGCGAGCTGATAGCAAATCCGAGAAGACATCCAGCAACACCCAAGTCGACTGTTCCTTGAGCCAATGCGCAGAGATTCTAGGACTCCTCGCAGAGTTCAAAGACCTCCCAGATATCCCCAAGCCCAGCAATGATGCACGTTCCCATCCAACCTCCCGTTTGAAAATTCCTCGCATCACATTGATTGGAACTCCACCTGATTCTTCTGCACCATCCTAGTCTCGCGTCCAGATCCAAACATGTACCATCGTCGAACTTGCAGCGCAAAGACGAGCGCTGGACCAAGCTGGCAGAATGCTCTGCCGGAAGCTCGGCCTCATGATCGAAGAAATCGGCAGAGGGGGCAGACCGGTGCTGAGTAACGATATGAAAAGCACGATTGGGAAGCTGCAGCTCCACGTTCTGACGTCGAGGATGATGATGCCTAGGCCTGCAGTCCAATTGCAGAAGACGACGAAACCCTCCCCGAACCCAGAGCCGTGGTAGCTAGCAAATGTCGGCGTTGGACGCGCGCGACGGAGAGCGCTTAGGTAGAACTAAAAAATCAAAAAAAGTCAGCCAACTGAAAAGATGATGACATTCGTTGGATTGGCTTCCGCTTACCCAACCAAAATCTCAGTGATCTCAGGAATGACGTCCTCCCTGAGCTTGCGGACGACATCTCCCTTGTAGCAAAGCTCCTCAGCAGTCTCAGCGCCGAGCATCTGACGTCTGTTCAGCTCTCTCTCAAGGTCAGTGACCATGGTCTGGACGCGGAAGGCGTTCTCTTGGAGGCGTCTCTTGGCCTCAATATCGCGCATCTGTGGGTCCCCATTATGCTCGCGGTGGTAGTCAGCGACAATCTCCTGATTGTAGAGCGACCTGGCAAAGAGGAAGGCCTGAAAGGTCTTAAGGGCAGTCCTTGGAAAATCTCCAGCCAAGAAAGCGGCTACAGCGGGCATGAAGTAGGTATCGAAGTCCTCTGGAGGAGTAGTGTAGGGGATGAGCCTGTGAACACGCTGGCGAAGAGCGACACGGCGGCGGCTGTAACGCTGGGGCTGGAATGAACTTCTGTTAGAATTGTGACAAAATAAAGTGGAGTGTGACAAGGGAAACAGACCTGAGTGAAGGTAACAGCTGGCCGGTTAGAGGTATGCAGCTGGTTGGAGGTAGGCAGAGCCTGAGCGAGAGATTGGAGGTTGAGAGCCTCAGTCTCAATCTCGTGCTCAGGAACCATCTGGCCATTCTCTTTGAGGCCGTTCTCATCAACGCGCGACACCTGCCCTATGGTGGTGACTCTGCCCTGGTGAGGCATCTGACCGGCCATTTGGCCACCATGGTCGGTGTCCATGTTTTCTCCCTGAAATATTATTAGCATAAACTTTGGAATGAGCGCGAAGTCATACTCACGTTCATCGCAGCAGATCTTGTGGATGAAAGAAGAATAGGTGTGGTTTTGGTAACGGCGAAGTTGCAAAGTCGACAACAAAGTTGGAAAGAGGAGGAGGGTGGGTTGAAAATCACAAGAGCTGTTCTTCAGCAGCAGGCGTACGTGAAGATGTGAAGATGTGGTACGTGCACCCGCCTTTGGACAACCAACAATAACAATGGGAGGTTGAGCACAATGAGAGCCCTGGCGAGGTCGGAGGGGGAGGGAAAATTTGTCAAAGGATGGCAACAACTCAAAAGAAGGAAGGCGCGCACAACCATCAGGACAAAAGTTGCAAGAGCAAAAAGGTGTTTGTATTCAGGGTATCAAAAGGCAAGCCAGTCAGCTCACTAGGAACTGAAAATCGATCAAGTGGACATTGTCTGCCGAAAGGAGGCGCGCCGCATTGTTACCATGTCCTCTATCTGCATCTTGACAATGCCAAGCTCACGACCAGTGGCTGCCAAGGTCTTCTTCGTAGCATCCAACTCATCCCGAAGCTCCTCGGCCTTCTCCTTGAGGCGGAGCTGATCCTCAGATACCTTACTGTAGCCCTGACCGTTGACAATGTTGGAAGCAAGCGTGAAAAGATCGCGCACCTGCTCCTGCTGCACTTGGGTTAGCTGAGCTTGGCGAGCCATCCGGACGATTTCGGAAGCATCGCTCTCAAAGGTCGCAATAAGCTCGCTGGAAGGAGGAGTTCCTGTCTACATTCAAGTCAACAAGGGAATCCCAACTGAGTAAGTCCGCATTTGATGTGCTCGAAGTGCTGCCGCTTGTCCGCCTTCTCCCCACGCCGACTGCAGTTGCAACCACGTGTACCCCTCCAGACAAAGTCCTTCTGCAGCGAAGCGCGCCCGAGGCACCTTCAAGCTGCCCTCTTCACCGTTTCCCACCCGGATCAGACCTGGGCGTGCCTCCCACTGTGCTGAGACCCCGCGCGAGCAGGTGTTCAGATGGGAGCGGGAGGCGGCATGGGGGAGCGATCACTGCGAAGGGCAACCAAGCCGGCGCGAGCGCCAGCAAGGAGTAAACAGGTATCCTTATCAAGAGGCGCTCAGGTGTTTTCGCGAGGCAGCGAAAGATCTGCCCCGCGAAACCCAAGCACCCAATGATTTGGCAAGGTCCTGTAATGTTTCACGCCCTCCGCCATGACACATGCAGACTCAAGGCAAGGAAAGCACACAAATGAGAATGAATGGACTTACCATAAGGTGATTGCTGAGATCGGTGTTGTCATGACCGTTTGTGGTGTTGGTGGAGGAGTCGAGCTGTTCCAGAAGGCGCGTCAGAAGGTGAAATTGAAACGAGCGGGAGAAGGGAAGGAAGTCGGAGGGAATTGTGCGAGGGATGAGATGGAGGGGAAAACGTACCATGGGAGACTCGTCCGCAGCAGTGCCGCTCGTGTGAGGTGACTTGGAGTCCATTCGGGAGAGAGTGCGAGAAATGTTTGCGAAAGTTGGTATTGGAGAGAAGCGAAAACCTTGGGATGGGGAGGGGGGGGAAGAGGTAAAGAATGAGGGAGAGAGTGGTGATCTGGAGGAAAGGATGAGGTAGAGGAAGAGATGAAGCAGAGGAAAACGGGCAGAAGGGGGGATTTAAATACTTGAGAGGAGGGCTGAGGGCAGACGGGACGATTTACTGATTGTGCGCCAGATCGAGTACGTATCACTAAACATTTCAGATCAGCCAATGAGAAAAATCGAGACGAGGCGGTCGCTCGTGGTGAATGAGGTGTGTGAAGCTGAAGGTCGCGGGAAGACGATATGGTAAAGTGGAGACGACCGGTTGCCAGGTGAGATCGCAGGCTGGTACCTAGGGACGAGGACAGGACAGGTGAGAGGTATGTAATCTGGCCCGTCTTATCTGGTCGGGTTCGCAAAGATAACGCCCCTACGAGTATATGCATATTTCGGATTTGTGAAAGAGTCGCGTGAAGATTGCGAAGTTCACCACAAAGGACTGCATTCGATAGCCCCGACCTCCTCAACATCCAAGTCCTCAGATACCCGGAGCTCGACAAATTCAACCTTCAGGTCTTCATCTCTTGTCATGGTTCAGCATCGGAAGAAGCTCGGCAAGAACCAGCGCGTTCGAAGAAGAGAGAAGAGACGCCGCGACGCCGAGGCCGCAGCAGAAGCTGGCGCGAAGCTCTCCGCGGTGCATACCTACTTTCCCTCGTCCGTGCCCGAGGCAGCAAAGGCATTTGGCGTCAGCCAGAACGAACAGAATGAAACATCACCTTGGAGAACCAAAAGGTAAGGTGTTCGCTCATCGGCGCGTCCTCCCAGCACCAGCACGAACTGATAGCGACTTCTCAGAGAGCCAAGAAGCTCAAGCACAAGGTCACCAGGGGCCAATTTAATGATCATCACCGACGTCTGAAGCTTCTGGAGCTCCATGTCGAGGCTGCCGCCAACATCTTCAACAAGATGAACACCGACCACATCGCCAAGGACCTCAAAACCCTCACCAGAAACTTTTCGGCTGCCTGTGCCGACGGAAGAGCTATTCGAAGCACGGCAAATGATGCGCTGGCTGGTGTGAACCGTCTTGAGACTACCGTCAAGACTCTCGAGGCTAGTATGGAGAATCTCGAAGCCGGCCTGGAGGATCTCACGGCGGAGATGGCGCCGACGAGGGAGATGTTCGATGCCGCGGTCAAGACCATGGAGGAGCGGATTTCTGCGATCGAGAGCCAAGTCGAGCAGCTGGTGAAGGGCGCCTCGAAGAGCGCAGCTCAACAGCCCGCCGACCTGCCCAAAGATGGCCGAGCTCAGGAAGTGTGGAAGGGACGACTTCGCTCTGGCAGGAAGGGATGATTTTGAAGTTGGTGGCTGAAGGACATCATGTTGACCAAATATGGGACGAGTCTTGGTTTTGGGGAGTGTCACAAGGAGATCAGAGTCGCATGATAAAAATAACAAAGGATGGACCATGGAAAAGGCGAGTCAGTAATACAAAGCCATTAAGGAAGGTTTCATTCATCATTAAAGGATGTTTGTGCAGAATCCTGAATCTCAGTCGTTGCCATAAAGCGCTCTTCCATCAGACTCTTCGATAACCCTGCGCGGACGCGCCATGTTCCCATGAGCCACCTCTGCCTACCATTCCTGAGCTGCATTCTCAGTCAGCTGCACCTCATAGGCAATCTGCGCAGAATTCCAACCTTGCATCCGTTCAGCGCATTCATTGTCCCAGGCATGGTTGGCCTTAGCTCTGGCCTTGGCCTCCTCGTGGTGCTGCTCAGACTCCTGTCTGACTTGCTGCAGCTCTTTTTGAACAGCCTCATACTTGACACGGAGCTCCAGGAGCTCCTTCTTCAAGTCCCTGGAGATCTGGACCTGCTCCTTGAGCATGACCGCCAGCTGCGAAGCGGTTTGGTTGACCCTTGGCATGTTGTCGCTCTGCTTGGTGGCCATGCGGCGGGGGGCGCGAGCCTAACACATCCAAAAGTCAGCCGAGGCCAAACACCAACACGCACAGACTGAAGGCCAAAGATGGACCTACCCTGAAATTGACATCGATCTGGATTAGGTCTCTCATATAATAGCCACCGGTGGTACTGCCCGGGATTCGAGAGGCAGTCTGTACATCCAAAGTCAGTTGAGGTCGAACAAAAACTGAGTAAGTCCCAGAACATTCGTTCTGTGTGAAGAAGCCGCTCGCCCGCACCCTACCAGGCGGCATAAGCGAATGACGAGCACTACCGTATGTCACTCTCACGCGGTTGAATGGCCACGTCTCCCTGGGTACAGTACCCGTCGGTATAAAGCTCTCCTATGCGGTTGCCAAACCATTCGAAGCGAGGTCGCATAGCGCTCCACCTTGGACGTTTTGAAGGCAGAGCTTGGTGAAGAACAGTGGCTTGGTGGGTCGAGAAGGTCGTGGGGAGATGGCCTCCTCGCAGCCGGCCAGCCGGCTCTGAGGAGAGACGAAGCCCTCAAGGAGCAGTCGTAAATTCTGGCACAAGCGAAAGATCTCGTGCCCGACGCGAACTGCTTCCCTGCGTGGCTGGCCCGGAACTTTTCCCTCCCTCATATCCTTGAAGACAGGCTCGCGGCAGAGAAAACAGACGAGTGTGGATGTATGAAAGATTGGACTTACGGGCTGAGTAGAGGTCTGAGAAGGACGACCGTTGGCAGAAGCAATGGCCTGACGAGAGGCGGTCGGAGACTGGACAGCCAGGCCGCGAGAGGTGGTAGTGGTACGATTGGTGGTCGGGGGAGCAGCCGGGGCCTGAATTGAGTTAGAACTTAGATGAGAACCAAGAGTGAACAAGAATAGTAAAGAAACTCACCGCCTCGTTGACGGTCTTCATGTCGATGATCGTGCGCATCTTTACGATGATGTGCGGATTTCGGTCGTGGGTTGACTTTTTGGCTGGACGAAAACGTCGCTTTCGGTTGGAGGAGTAGGAGAAGGAGGGAGAAGAGATGGAACTGCTCAAGTTGAAGGTGTTGAGACAGAAGTAAAGGGGCAAGGGTATGGAAGAAATGGGCGCACACTTCCGTCGCTTGAGAAAAGAAAAGAACTTCCGCGGGCGAATTGAACTGATGAGAATTCACCCGACGTAGTTTGAAGATGGGGAAAGAGCAGAGATTGTGTCTTGCCTGCCGAAATTTGAATACTTTCAGGTGTTACTCGCGAAAGGAACTCTTCGCGGGACGTGGATGACGTAAGACCGCCTGGTACCGGCACCCTGCGCGCCAAATGAAGGTACCCGAACCTTAGCCTCCACTCCGCGTCCCCCGTTGAACCAGGGTGCTGGGCCCACGCGTCAGGGAAGGCTTGCATATTGCCCTTAACTTGGAGAGCGGCTTCTCGAAAGTCCTGGTCGTCAACCCCAGGTCCAACAGCATCACACGTCATCATGCGAAAGAACAAGAAATCCAAGAAGGCTAGACGCCATGCGAAGCTTCTCAAGCGGCTCGAGATAAAAGCTCTTTCCGAAGGCGACCTGCACTTGAGCAAGACTGTAGGACCCAACAAAAACCACGAAGATGGCCTTCATGAGGAAGATGCACCGTCCTCGCCGGTAACACGGTTGATCCGCCTCAAGGTACACCCGAGCACGCTGCCTTCATGGATCACTAGATACTGATAATGTCTAGGTCACGAATAGGGCGAGCAAGAACACCAATCTCACCATCACATCCATCCGCCGTGACGTTAGGCAGTTCAAGGACACCACGTCAACCGAGATCAAGGAAATGTTCAGTGACTTTGAGAACAAGATGGCGATGCAGCTCCACGCGTTGTTTAAGACCAGCATGCGGAACGAAGAGGTTATTGAGGACATAAACAAGTCCGTGGCTGCCCAAGAGGCACACGCATCCCAGCAAGCTAGAGAGATGGACGCGCTGCGCTCATACAACCACGAACTTCTAAACGTGCTTGCAGAGGAGTGGGAGGACAGCAAGACCGTGGAAAACGAGCTGAGACATGCCCTGGAGAAGATAGCGCAGAATCACAAGGCTGCTATGAAGGAGACGATGGACAATCAGAGGGAATGTTTGCGAAGACCGATTGAGAAGGCTCAAAAAGGCCAATGTGGCTAGATCACAGGTCTTCGGCAAGGCGTCCAAAATTGAATTTGGCCATGATGTCCTGTTGAAAAAGGAACAGTCGCAAGGCTGAGACCTGCCTGGCATCCACTTGAAATATAGATCCCACGACATAGACGTGCGAAAACTTACATAGAATGTGATCTGATTTCTGATTTTGGGCTTCTCAATCCGAGGGTGTATTTGACTGCTTCGTGATATTCTTGTCGTCTTCGCGAAACAATCGCCAGAAACCTGGCAGCTGTGTTGGAGGCCAAAGTCGTCGCCAGGCGTGGAGGTATCTGGATTGATGTTGCTCTTGGATGCTGAAAGTAGGACGAACGATTCGTTAAATTTGATATGGAGAAGACAGAAAGATGTGTGTCAAGATGGAAGACTGACTGGCCGCCTAAACACATGAGAAATATCCCGATCACAATGCACGGGTAAGACCAAATTGTCAGTGCCACTCATCGGCTCGTTGATTCCATTGTGTGTCGAAGTTCATTCCTCTCTATGTATTCTGTTCATGTATGGTAAAACCAGAGAGCCAAGGTTTGCGAAAATAATAGAAGGATCAACCAAGGGTCATAAGCTTCTCGATCTTGGCCTCGAGGATCTTGATCTTCTCCTCCTGGACCTTGATCTTCTCCTCCCGAGCCGCGATATCCTCCTCCATCTGCTTGGTGACCTTCTCCTCAATACGCTGCCCCATCTGAGCAAGCTCGCGCTGGACGTAGTCCTCGATGTTCTTCATGTTGGTGGCGAGCTCCTTGCGAAAGACGGTCTCGAGAGTCTGGATGCGCTCGGTGAGCTCACGCATGGTGGCATCGGTGGTGCGGCCGGCTTGGTTGGAGAACTTCTGATTGATCTCCGCCATGAGCTCGCGCATGCGCGAGTCAAACATGTCCTTCAGCTGCTCCTGGACGCCCTTGTCCCAGAGCTCGAAGGAGGAGCGGGCGAGCTCGGCGACCATGAGAGCCTCGCTGGAGACTGCCTCGGCCTTCTTAACGCGCTCATCGATGCGCTTGGCGGTCTCGGTGAACAGGTTCTTGGCCTTGATGTAGTTCTCGCGGGCCTCGACGGCGTTGCGGATCTCAGAGGCCGTCTTGGCCTTAGACTCGTTGACCAAGGCAGTGACGTAGACGAGGATCGTCATGAACATCTCCTTGGTCTCGGGGTCGGCCTTGTCGAGAACGGCGCGGACCTCGGGGGCTATCTGGGCCGAGGTGCGGCCGGCGATCGCGGATCGGATGACGTCCTCGAAGGTCGGCATGATAGGGAGGTTCTGATTCCATCGCGTTAGCAGCAGTTCGAAAACAATTATTGAAGGCGTTCTGCTCAAAGAAAATTCACGACGGGTTGAAATTTCTGACATACCATCTTCTGCTGGGCACCAGCGCCCTCCTTCTGCTAGAAAAGTGTTAGCACCGTTCGTGGTCATTGGAGGATACGTGTTGTACTTACCGAGTTGTTGGATTGCTGCATCTCGAGGTCTGTTTTACAGTTGTTGGGAGGGAAGACTTTTGAGATGGTGATGTGCTCGGATGCGGATGAGAGAGAAAGCCTTTGATGTTGTGGTGAGCTTGGGTGAGAATTTGAGCCGGGTAGCTACGAGACGCGTCTTGTTCTGCCGCCGAGGAGGGGTGGGACAGGCAAGTGGGGCCAACGAACAAGCAGTGTTGGAGCCAGCACTATCTGCGACGGACTTTAAGCGAGTATTTTTGACCCTATGGTGAGCTGAGACTGAGAATTTGGATTTTCAGGGGGGGGGGGGCAGTTTGCCTCTTTCTCGGTATGAGACGCATGGGAGACGACCTTTGACTGGAGAGATTTTCCTCGATCCTTACCCACCCACAAAGCCCGACAAGCACGCCATGGACTTATCTGGTTTTGCTCTATGTAGGTGTCAGCATCTCTGTCTCTGTCATTGTTATCATTTTTTTTGTCCCGTTCTTATTGTTTTGTATTCGGTATTATAGGTATTCAAGCTTCTAAGGGTCTTTTATGTAGCTACCTTAAATGGCAAGCATGTATGCCAAGGAGGCCGGGCGGCTGTTTATTACATAGGTAAGATGCTATCATCCAGAGCAGTTACAAGACCGGTAGTTGGTGGAAGGAACCTTCGCAGAGGTCGTCCCACGGCAAGTCCATCACCCTTCGCTTTCCTCAGGAATGCCAGAGACCTTCCATTCAAATGAGTTCACCAAGTCTTCAATGCTGGAAGCTGGCATTGGAGCTGCGGCTGAAAGAGCCCGCAAAAAAAACCTGCTTTATTTACCAACCGACCTTTCTTGCACAGTCCCTTTCACTTCCGGCTTTTTTCTCCGAATTTGAGGGACAATTGGCCCGGAGAACATCATTTATTCTTGCAACGGATATCATTGTTCTCAACGCCAAAGCGTTGGTCCGAGCTTGGTCGACCAAGGCAGCTGCACACAAAGGACAGATTGAAGATCAGAGAAAGACAGAAAGTCTGTTTACAGAAATACTTCAAGAGGATCATCGGCCTTTTCCCATCTCAGTTTTCGCATTTTTCATCTGCGATGGAAAAGTCGGCCATCGGGTGGCTCACCTGTGCTGCCGCAGGTACGAGCAGGCTCGGTCGAAAGTTGTACACAGTAAATTCAGACACAGTGAACAAATTGGGATTTTATGTGGGGCTCCAGCACAGTGATCACTGCACCGTAAGGTACATCGAGCAGTGTTCTGGGCACGTACCTGAGCGAAGTGGAGTTGATTCAATTAAGCGCGCCCCCCTGATCGATCTGAGATGCGTCTACAGGGGAGCCTGGACCCTGTCGCGCGCCTGCAGCGGGCCGTCCCGCTGAACTCTCAGCACCAAAAAGCTGAGGTAGACTTGGGTACGGCGAGGTGCACAGGAGACGAAGCAACCCAGGCCACTGAACTGCAGTCCCAAGGAAAATGCCCCACTTTCCACACTTTGATTCAACGACACAATCACTTCGACCTTCAGCTTTTTTCCATGGTGAATGTCAAGCGTCGCAACGGGCCATCCGATCTCACCTTTTTTTCGTCGCCAGTTTTATGGGATTTTGATTATGCGTGTGGGCAGTCGGCCTCGGCTAGTTCGACCGACTCAGGGCTGAGCTGATTGCTGAGCGGCCTTCCTTTCTCACCCCCCTTGCAGATAAATTGATCCCACCCATTCTCCCCTTCTCTCTCATTTTACTTGATCTCCATCTCTTCACAACACTTGAGAAGGTACTTGGACTCGTGTTTGTTTCCTCGAAAATTCTTTGACTCACGACCCTCGCAGATGGATCATCTTGGCATTGCCTACGTGGGCTCGTCCTCTGACACCGAGATGGTAAGAATTCCCCATTCCCCTCCCCAAGTTCGCATCATCCCATCCTCGCATCCTCGCTCGTCGCAAAAGCGCGTGAGCGAGTCCTCTCTGCCTCTCTCGACCGCGTCATCCTCCTCCCTCCTTCAAAATCCAAACTAACTCTGCACTCGCAGCAGATGGACGGCCCTGTCAGCGACACCACCCCAGCCAGTCAATCTTGCGCGACATCCATGGTAAGTCCATTTCATTCACATCTGACTGCTTTCTTTTGCTTCGAGTCTGCACGTGTCGTTGCAAGGAGATCACCTCTTACGGGCCCACGCTGTGTCGGATGATGGAATGGTTGTCTGCCAGCGGATCTTCTCGCCGCCTGCGCACAAATGCCAAACCATCTTCCAATAGGGTTTCCGTTTGACCCAGGGTGTTCTCTTTGAGACGATCAATCACCCGGAGCGTGTCCCGGCTGGTGGGCCTCCTCCTCACGCGGGGGTTGAACACGCAGCTGGGGGGCACGCCCAGGGTCTGAGGCACGGCTGGCAGCTGGCCTCAGAAAGCAGGATGCTGGGTACATTTCCCCTCCCTGCAGAAGGATTTTGTCTGGAGGGGTACACGTGGTAGAGGGCCGAGCTGCGGCTAAGACACCCTGCCGCTCTGGGGAGAAGGCGGACGAGAAGCAAATCTTTTCGAGCACATCAGATGCGGACTTACTCAGTTGGGGATCCCTTAGCTGACTTGAATGTGAAGGCAGATTTCGAGAACCAGACTCCTGGCCAGTCCCTTGCCCTCACAACCTTCGAGCGCTTGTCGGAGGACATTCTTCGCCTCGCCCGGGAGATGGGAATGGACTCCCGACAGATCAACTTCACCAGGGTCCAACAGGAGCAGCTTCGCCTGCTGTTCGTAAAGGCGAACAAGACGATTGACGCTTCCAAGGACTACGTCAAGGGCGTCGAGAACCACCGCAACTATGCGCAGCACTACAGTGTTCAATTGGAGGACGCAGCCGAGAAGTACGACTTTCTTTCAAGTGACTATCGCCGCAACAAGGCGGATCTGGAGGCGGTCAAGGTCAAGATTGGGCAGCTTGACAGCAAGGTCACCAAGGAGATGGAGGCTATGAAGCGTGAGATCAAGGAGCTTCGGGAGCTTGTCAAGACTCGCGCTGTCTAGATGTATTAGAATGGCGACATGGAGAGTCGTGATGGATTGCTTGGCTTTCGTTGGCTTTGATTACTAGATACCAATAACCTGCTGGCTGCGCTGCTTTGTTGACCGCCACCTTCGAGTACAAAACTCCCTTGTCCACTTTGCGCCCGCGAGCTGTGTAATGTTAGAACGTGCCCCCATACGCCACTAAACCACCTAGGTAGTCAATTGAAGGCTGCAACAGCTGCTGCGGCGCTTCGGTGTTGCGTTGAGCGAGCTGCCGCACACTTTTTCCCACCTGCGCTACACCGCCTCGGGCTTTCTGCCGTCGTCACCTCACTTTACGATCGATTGTTGGCCCCCGACTTCCAGCAAAATAACCCATAAACGAACAAGCAACTCAGATATCATGGCTGCCAAACGCAACAGACTCGGCAAAAAGCAGCGCCTGGCGCGACAAGAGAAACGCCGTCAGGACGAGGCCGCAGCCGCCAACGCCACCGCCGTCGACTCCGCCACGAAGGTCTACTGGCCGCACGGCAAGAACGAAGGCCCTTCCGCGCCCGCCGAGGCCCCTTCTGCCGCCCAGAACAGTCAGACCAGCAAACAGACCGCCGGAAAGACGAACAACGAGACCCACGACCGCAAGACGATCGCGCGCATCGAGAAGCCCAAGGTAAATACCACACCCATGCTCCCAGACGTTTCCAAATCGCACAAAGTCGCTGACTGGATCCACTCCCAGCGAAAGCCGCGCCCCAAGAAGACCTCGCGCGCAGAGTTCAGCGACCTCCAGCGTCGCGTTAAGCTCATGGAGCTCCACATCCACGACATCGCGGACTCTTTCCTCAAGCACCACGGCGCCGGACAGCTTGCCTTGGATAACGTGCGCCGGCTCATCACGAGCTTCAACGCGGCTCTCGCCCTGGGATCCGAGATGAGTGCCAAGACCGATCTTGCCCTGGCCAAGGCTGAGACTGTGGCTAGCGAGCTTGCCGATATCAAGGCAGAGACCGCAGCCGTCCGTGCCGAAACCGCTTCTGTTCAAGCCGATACCGCGAAGCAAGACGGGAAGGTGGACAGACTGCAGGAGGCTTTGGGAGAGATGCGCGGCGCGATCAGTGAGCTTTCGCGTCTCGGAGAAGAGACTTCTTTGAGCTTGGCAAAGGCGCAGCTTGACTTGAAGGGAATGGGGAAGAAGGAACAACAGACAAACCGCACGCTTGAGGAGGATCAGAAAGCTACGATTGAGATGCAGCGCAAGTTGGAGACCGACATGTATGCCATGAAGGCCCAGATGGATGCCCTCCAGCAGCAAGTCGAGAGTATGCAGAAGACGGATGAAACGAAGGTTGAAAAGGGCCAGGGAGGCTGGAAGGGACGTCTTCGGTCCCGAGGAAACAAGTAGTTTGGCGTTGTTCGGATCGGATGTTTGTTCTACGCTTTTGAGTTGTCCCAGACACAAGGGCTTGCTCTTTGGTCGTCATCCTTGTTCAGTTCATATTTCCATTCGGACAATGGAGATGACGGACATTGGCAGTCAGGCTACGGCGGCATTATGTATGTCCAAGGAACTGCCACGCTAATAGATACTGTCATGGAGTGGAAGTCGGCAAGTTACAGTGATGTAGGCATGAACGAACGGGTCATCGTGAGCAGGGGACGCAGCAGTTGAATGACGACGCGAGATTCTCCTTCACGTAGTCATATCGTCACACACGATATCACGCAATTCACAAGTGGACGAGCTCATCAAGACACCAAGCAATTGAATGGATGAATTCAAAACAAACAATTTGACACAAATGTCTTCTAACCCCAGCAAAGATCCAGCGCCGCGAGACAAACCCCGAAACCGAGCCACGTACCCAAAAAGCGCAAGCGAAAAGAAAGCAAGTATCTGTCTTCATCCAGTTAGTCGAGCGAACAACTAAGTAAGTCACCAATTGACATTGCGTGAGAATGGCCACGAGCTCGCCCCCAAGGAGCGGCCGGTTCTACCGCATGAACCGCACCGCGTACCCCCGTTGCAATGGCATATCTCCCCATGGGTTGCCAACCCACTCAGAAGCGGGGCGCACCTTTCCCCCTTGGAACCCGAGCTCGATCCCGTGGGAAGGCAAGGAAGGAAAGAAAGGCGGCTCGCGTGAGAGAACTGCGCAAAGTGAAGACGGCAGCCGCTTTCCATGTTCAAGCCGAACGCCCAAGGGCGAAAGGCAAGAACGCCAAAAGCGGGTTCCCTTACTGGAGTTCCCGGAAGTGAGGCAGACAACCAAGAAGCAGGCGAAAGATCCTGCTTCTTGATGCTGCCAGGCCTTCCTGGTACTTGGCGAAGAGTCCTTGAGCCAACCAGATTGCGCATCGAGCGTTGGGCCAAAAGAAAGCAGACAAGAGTGGATGGGATGAACTTACCATGTGAGGTCGATACGAGACAGGAAGAGAAGGAGAAGATGAAAAATCTGTCTTCATCCAGTTAGTTGAGACAACCAAGTAATTTCGATGAATTGCGTTGCGTGATAGGCGGTTGGAACGCCCCCAGGAGCGATCTAAGGTCTCCCGCAGGACCAAAGGCCGCATATTCTCTAACCGGACCGAAGGTCTTGTCTCCAAGGGTTGCCAACCTACTCGAAGCGGAGTGCGCAGTCCAGTCCTTGAGTCCCAAATGCTGAAGCTGACTGCCGAGACAGACTGCGACACAAATGGGAAGGTAGGATCCACGGCTCTTGGGGCAAATGACATCACGAGATCCGGCCGCCAGTTCCCGTGTTCACCCCAAACCCCGAAGGGAGAGATGCGATCATGAGAATCGGGTTCCTTGTCACTGGTGCCTTTCAGCGGGCGTTCATCGTGAGAGGCCAGCGAGAGATCTCGCCTCTGATGGTGCCGGCATCCTGGTCCCTGGCTGGACAGGTCCTTGGGCCAACCGTGATAGTGCAACGAGCGCGAAGCCAAGAAAGCAGACAAGAGTGGATGGAATGAACTTACCGATCGAGACGGAAGGTGATGATCGCGGCAGGGATGGGAAAATGTGAAAGTGAAGGGGGAAGGAGAAATGTTGTAATGGATGAAGGTTGTGATCGAGTTAAGAAGAAGAAAAAGTTGAGAGAGCCGGAGAAGAGCGTGGATTAAATAGAAGTCAGGTGGGTGCGGGATGGGATTGATTGTGCGATCGCTGCAGTAAGTACCGAGACTAATTTTTTGATTGGCGGACTTTGAGGTGAGAGATTGAAATTTTCTGAAGTGCTGTTTTGCAGAAGATGAGGTGTCCGGGTGGGTAGAAAATGAAGGTGCACCAAGTGAAATCGGGGAAGGAGTGGATCTCTGAGAATGGAAGGATGAGGTCGGCATAAGGTTGCGGCTGGCTCAAAAACGGAAGGGGCTACAGGGTCCATTCTAGCCCTAGCTCATCCCGGACTTGGGGGTTGGAATGGTTCACGACGGGGTTGACAGGGGATGGGCGTGAAGAGTCTTAGAGTGTGTCTGGTGCTACGAAGGGAGCCTTAACGCCGATAGACCATAACTCCGAAAGCCTCAAATTCCCGTCCAGACCCACATAACGGTTGACGATTGACGACGACATGTCTTGCAGGTGAAAATTCCGATCGAAACCGCACCTTGATTGAAAATGAGTGTAAAATTGACTGAATTTAATCTTCAAGTCCTCGTCTACCTTAAGCCGAGTTTACTTTCTCATCATCACCCAGTTTTGAAATGACCGACCGTCTTGCTGCCATCCGACCCGCAGTTTACCCGGACCTGTCCCGAAGCCGCTGAAGCTGCGCTCGAATTTTCTGCATGTTCTCCAGCGACTTGTCGACGCGCAGGTACATTTGCGCCAACTCCTGAAATTGATCCCAGATCTTCTTGAATGCATCGGAATTCTCCCCGGCCACTCGTCCAGTGTCCTCCAACACTCTTGCGACATCTTCGGCCATGCGGATGACGTCGCGTTTCGTTCGTAGGATGTATTGCTCATCGCGGGCGAATTCGGCCTCTTCTTCTTCGTAGCTCTATCGATTGTCAGCGCAAGCTTCGTAGGAAACTTCAAATGAAGTGACGCACCTGAAAGCCGCTTTTGGGGGCATGTGAGATTGGCGGCATTGTGTCGATAATGGGGTTGAGGTTTGGTGGGTTTGCGGAAGGTTTTATACAACTTGACCCGGATGGAAGGTTTATTGTGTGCGGCGAAGAAACACTGAGGGTCGTTCTGCTTGTCTGTTGTCGGAAACTTTGGATGAGCTAGTGAAATTGGCCAGATTCAGTTGGTCGAAGTCTGACAGGCTTGTTTTTCGTTCACATGCCACTGTCCGTGGACACATCACGAACATGTGGTAAGGCATTGCGCCTGCGAATTGTCGAGTCAAGCCTCCTTTCGATGCGCTGACTTTCCAAAGACAAAGACGGAAACAATGCATGCAATCAAAGTATGTTCATTCCACCACCATCCCTAACAAAACCATGTTCCGAAACACTCTTTGTCTGCTCTAGAAAACACACGTTCTTGACCGCCTCGGACTCAAGCCTTCCTGCGGGATCGCAAGCGCCCCTTCCATCCCTCCTGGTTGCCGCCACCCTGCTGCTTGCCGCCCTTGCCATCGGAACCGCGGTCGCGGAGCTGCTGGACCTCGGACTGGAGGGTCGAGAGAGAGCCAAGCATCGCCTCCAGGTCCGTCTCCAACTTAGCGTTCTTCTCGCGCAGAGCCTTGTTCTGCTCGCGCAACTCTCCAACATCCTCGCCGAAGAGCTCCAGCTTCGCGTCCACGATCTCCATCTTGGCGGTCGTCTGCTGTGCATCCCATCTGACGTGCTCTTGAAGAGCGTTGTGTCCCTTGGCCACTCGCTCCATGTTCTCCAAGCCCAGTCTCAAACCGACTCTCTGGTTCTCCTGGAAACCGGCGTTGACTGTCTCAACGCGGAGACGCCAGTCCTTGTTCTCGTCGATGGCCTTATCCATCTCGTTCTTCATGACGACGGTCTGAACCTGGGTTCTGATATCGAGCTCGTTGAGCTGGCGGCGCGTGAACTTCCGGACATTGCGCTTGACCTGTTATGCATTGATTTAGATGAGCTTTAGACACCCTAGCGGCAAGAAGAATGAAATTTGGTACAGTACCCTGACACGGTTGGCCTTGGTAAGGCCGGCGAGAGGCTCGGCGGGATCGGCGGGGTAGACGGAGCCGGGTTCAGTGGCGGCAGGCACGCCGGACAGGAGAGCTTGGGTCGCTCTTGCCTTCCTCTTCTTCTCACGAAGGCGTTGGCTCTTTCCTGGCTTGTGCTTTTTGGGCATTTTGGCGGTGTGGTGGGTGTGGTGGTGGTGTTGCTTGGGGTGGTGGTTGTGAAGTGGGAGGATGGGAGAAGTGAAGGTGTAAAAGCGAAAGAATTACTAAAAGGGAATGGCGGTGAAAGACTAAAGAGGCTCGACGAGTCTAAGCAGCATGTAAACATATATCACTAGCTTCTTCAGGACAGTGCTGGAATTTCCATTGAGCTTACTCATTTTGACTGCCCCGTAGAACCTGGAACTCTTCATAGTAAGTTTTGATGACAACATGCAAGATTATAAACCTCTGCCTTCATCCAGTATCGTTCTCATGCATCCGTTCTCTGGGCCATTATGGATCAGAAGTTAAGGCCAAGAGAGAGGTGGAACGCGAGCGAATGTAGCTAATCTGAGGCAGATGAAGACCAAGGCTCGGGATCTGATGAGAGTCAGCCCACATTGCGATTGGATCTACTGTCAAGTGGCACGGAAAACATCTCCAAGTCTACGCTGACTGCATTTTGCGTACGCACGAACTGTCAATTAGAGTAATACTGGTGTCTGTTCCCTGAACTACGGTAACAAGTCGAAGGCTGTGGGGCCGTCAATCCTCTTCTTAGCTACATCCCGACGTGAGACTGCCTGGCTGCTGCCGCGAAGATTCAACCACCCCGGCTTTGAAGGTAGCTCCTTCCTTGAACTTCTACGTCACATTCCGTTTCTCAATTCAACCTCAACCGTCGAATTTCTCCATGGCAACCGAAAGACGTGTCGGAATTTTGCTCCCACAAATCTGTTTTCTATTTTCCACCTCTGGCTTGACTGTCTTCAACCTCCTTTTTCAAGCTTTTCAACGGTTTTGCACTTGATTATCGAACCGGCCCCTGGCCTGCTGGCCAAACTGTCGGTCTTTGTCCTTCGAAACTTCCCTCGTTCTTTTCACTTCCATCTTATTCTGCGCCAGCAATGACAGGCTTTCTCGTTTTCTTTTCTGTGCCCCTTCCGTCTTTTGTTCTTTCCATCTTAGGAAAGATGCAGTGACCACCTCGTCGACCCCAGCCCTGAGCCAGCCTCACACCCAGCCCCACTTCTACTTTCTATTTAAATCACCTCTCCTTTCGCTCACTCGGTTCGCAACTCTTCTTCTTCTGCACACTCTTTTCCTTCCCCCCTCCATCGTCCCCGACTTTCACTTTGCTCTCCCTTCCTTCCCCTAGGTTCACCTTGTTTTTCACTTCGTCCTCAAAACCACACACACACACAAACACACGAACACGCGTGCGCGCGAGATCGTTTCTTCTCTTGCTCACCCATCGCATCACATGGTAAGTCCATTTCATCCACATTTCTTTGCTTTCTTGGCTTTGAGCCCGCCTGTGCGACCGTGCTGGCGAAACGGACCTGTCCAGCCACGACCAGAGACAGACGCAAAATTTGAACGGGATCTTCTTGCCTGTCTCAGATTCGCGCTCATCTCTGGGACGGACAGGTACACCTTGTACAAACTCCTTCTTTCGAGACTGGTGGGAGTACGAGGCTGCCTTTGACGCGGTGGGCGTTTTCCTCCGAATCTGACGACTTCTTCTGGATACTGGATACCCCCGGCGGTCCAGAAGGGGAAGTTGAGCCTCGCCTCGATCGGGTTGGCACCTGTGAGAGGAGTGAATACGCTGATGGTCTTACCGGGGAGGGTACGTGGCGGGGGTTTTCACCTCCGGCCGGTTCAGAGGACGCGGGCAAGCAGCCGCTCAAGCATAGCATATGCAGACTTACTCAGTTGTGTTCTCTCAACTGACTGGATGAAGACAGGTTTTCTCTCCGCGAACTCGGTTTCGATTCGACAAACCAGGCAGTACGGGCATCGGGAAGAACTAGAGGTCTGGGGGAGGTCAACAGGGATTTTCAGGCGGATGTCTAGATGTATTAATTCAACACGTTATTCAATGCAATCGCACCTGTCTTGTGGCGCAGATGTTTGTGATCTTCGATCTACGTGTGATAAATGAGGCTAGCACAGGCATGATTCTCAATTTGGGTCTACGGCAAAGCGACTTGGTATTATGTCGAGTCTATAGTGTCTACCACAAAAAAGATGCTTCGTGACACTCGACCCGACCATCGATTCGTTGTAGTGGCTGGCCGGATCTGAGGCAGTGGAAGAGAAAACCACCGGTCCAAATGAGAGGATTCCAGCATCGTAATTACAGCAAAGCATTCCCAAGATTGATCTACAAACCTGCGCCGAAAGCCCTTCAAGTACAGTACACACACCCGTCAATGGGAGACTTGTTGTTGTCCTGACGTCACGTGGTGGAAGCTGAAAGAGACCCACTTGCGAGAGACGCCCCGGCGGAGACCGCCCGCTGCAGGAGCAACGGCCCAGACCACTGAGGTGGCTGTGAGAATTGTAATCTGAAGCGGCTGAACTCTGCCACGGCAATCGGGCAACCCTTTTGGGCTTTTGCCGCCATTAAATTTGCGAAGCCCTACCTACCTTCAAATATTACTATCATTCAAGCTGACCAGTCTACTTATTTCGACCGCAAACAGCGACTCTCTACCTTAAGGTATCTAAAGTCTTCGCGTGTCCCGAAAGCCCCCGCAGCTTGTTTACTGTGGGAGAGAAGAACACTAGCTCTGGTCGCATCACGACATTTGCAACAGTAAGCAATTTACCTTGCTCGCTCGACTTTTCCGTCTTTCTCCCATCCCTTCCCTCTGATCCAGCATCCTCCTTCTCATCTTTACTCTCGCTGTCCTCCTCCAGGGGCTACCCTTTCTTGGAAGCCACTCTCTATTGCCATCTGCCAACTCTTCAAGGCCATCTTCCTCTGCTCACATGGAAGCTTTCCTTCCTCACACCCCGGCTGATCTTGACTGTTTCCGAAGTCCATCGCAACCATACTGACGCACTTTCATTGAAGATGGACACTCCGGACCAACCCGCCAGCGTCAGTGACGAGACCAAGGTCTCCTCAGTTCCCGACATATCATTAGAGATGGACACTCCGGACAAACCCGTACACGACAGCGACAAGACCAAAGTCTCCCCAGTCACCGAGACGGTAAGTCCATTTTTCATTCAAATCCGACTGCCTTCCTCTGCTTCAGGTCCGTACCAACCCGTCGCAATGTGGGGGGGTTTATAGGTCTCTGCTGCACTGGGACGGGTTAAGGCCTTCTGCGACACATCTCTCGCTATCACAGGAAAGCTCAGTCGTCTTATGTTCCGAAGAGGTCATTGTAGCCCTAATCGTTGTAGTTGTAAGCTGGCGATGCTCGGGTACCAGAAAGCGGTGACGCCATCCCGGAGCTGTCTCGCGGCGCTGGACCACGTTCATCGTGGTTCAAGGACGACCTCAGCACGGACGAGAGGCGCCTTGACCAGGGCACATCAAATGGGGACTTGCTCAGCCGGGTTTTCTTTGCTGACTTGAGAGGTAGGCCTCTGACACGCGCCCCGTAAACGAACTCAACCAGAGCAAGATCGAATCCTTGACGAAGGAGCTTGAACGCTTGAAGAAGGAACGCGACGATCTCAAGGCCATGTGCGCCGCGCTGAGGACTCGGATTGAAACCAAGAAGAAGGAAATCGTTCCGACCTCGGTTGACTGGCGTAGCCTTTCTCGGGAAATGGACGATAGAATGAGTGAGGCAGTGCAGCGGTGGATTCTTCTGAGTGAAGAACAATAATTACCACGTAAATATCGTCGTCATGAATTACTACGTGATGTGCCTACGTCAATTTCCAGAGATATTGGGAATAACTGCGACAGGCTAGCTCTCTATTGCAGAAATAAGATAAAGCCACATCTTTTCGATCAAGATCGCGTCGAGAAGTGCTTCCCCAGGCAGTCATGCACCTACCCGCGTCGACAAACGGAGCCAGTTCCGACCCGACGTCGCCACGGCAGCAAACGCGCACCTTGAGATTAGCAAGGATGAAAACTAAAAGGGGCCTGCCACCTTTCAGAACCACAAGAACATTCTCACTCCATCGAATTCCAGCGATACGTCGCGTGTCTTCTGGTGTCAGTAAGTCCTGAAATGCACACTGCGGCTGCCTGACCCAGCAGCAGACCCTCATAAAGTGGTCGTCGTCACCAATCACCGCCCCATCCACACAAACGGAGGCCATCCACAACATCCTTACCTCCTCTCAACGCGTCGCCTCGTCGCTTCTCATCCCACCCAACATTGCATCTTATCCCATCTCTCAGTCACAATGGCCTCAAAGAAGAAGAACATGGGTAAAAACCAGCGCGACCGCCTCAAGAAGCAAAAGAACCGCAGCCTCGTCCCCACCAACGCCCCCTCCTCCTTCTCCCCAGACGGCACCGACACCGACGCCGACTCCACCCATGAGAAGACCACCCTCGACGTCACGAACTACAGCGCCGTCAGCAAGCTCTCCACCAATCTCCGCATGTCCAACCTCGTGAAAGAGAGGGTGTCCGTCGACGACAAGGGCCGGAAGCTGCGCGTCATCATGGGCGGCGAGAAAGTAAGCTCACTCATTCAATCCCGACTTAGCTGATGTTGTCCAATGACTAATCAAATACAGGACATAAACGAGTTCATCAAACGCCTCGAGGACGAGGCCAAGCTCCAGACCCAGCTCACCCGCATCTCGACTCGCTTCAACGCCCTGCGTTCTTCCCAGCCCGACGACCCCGAGGTCCGCAAGATCGGCAACAGCATCAATGGGCTCATGGCGTCCACGAAGGGCCTGATCTTCGACGCGGGTGGCGCGCGTAAGAGAAGCAGAGTGCCGGCCTACCCCGGCACACTCAAGCTGGTGAGGTCAAGCTTGCCCCATCGTCGAAACGGGAGATGCTGACTTTGCCCAACCAGGCCTTGGACCGCGAGAACCCCATGTACGATGCTCTCTCTCTGCAAATGAACGCGTTCTTGGCTCTTGAGGATATCGCTGCAAAGATTGAGCATGTCCGTTCTAGAGTGCGGGAGAAGGATGACCAGTAAGCTTTGGAAAATAACCGTGAAAGGACTGGCTTTGTGGGTTGGAGCATTGGTTTTGAGGTGAAAAAGATCCTAGCTTCGTATGAATAAAGAACAATCTTCCTATCCCCCCTTCCTTTGACCTTTGATTCATGTTTTCGAGCATGATGCCGCCTGCGGGCAAGTTGGACAGCAAAATGACCCTGGCCTGACGGAGACAACGACGCTCAGGATAGCTGAGAGAGACCTCAACAGCCGACCTATAATAGGATATATGAGAAGAGCACAAGTTCCAGGGGCATCTCTCCCTCCACATCGCATCAAAACCAATACTTCCGTTCCTCCAACAAGATATTCAAGTCACCCTCACCATACCACATTAAAATTTCGACATCTGCTATCTTGAGGAGCGGTTACAGCTTCACGAAAATCTCGGCACCCCACAGAAACAACCTACGTCTCAAGTGTTATTGAACCTCAAAGTCGCTATTGGTAACAGTGAACGTATCCATTCCTCGCTTCCAGTCAAGCCCTCCTCTTAATCCATCATGAAGCAGGGCGGGAGTCGCCGCTCCAGGCTTCTGAATCTCCATCTCGTTCCAATGGGGTCCTCCAATAAATGATGATTCCCTCAAGAGCGACTCGAACCTGCTCTTTTCGAGCCACTGCTCGCGCCGGATGGCCTTGCAGTTAGCCTAGAACCGCGCCCGCCCAGATTCAACCTCTCCATTCTTTCGCTGAGCTGGGTTTCAGTCACAAGATCGTACCATGGTTTAAGACCATAATTATACATTGAGCCGCATACACCTCGTCCGCTACGATAGCGTAACGGTATCAAATCGTCCTCATGCGTGTCTGGGTCATCATCGGTCGAGTTCCCGTCGGGGTCGGAGATGTTCATTGGTGAAGCAGCAGATCGTGCAGCAGCGGCAGCAGCGGTAATAGAAGCTTTGTGCTGCATTTCAATAACTTCGTGCCACTTTTGAAGCAACGTCAAACTCTCCTCATCAGAGTCCTCGTTGAGAGGCGTTGAATGTTGCGCTGCCATGCTGTTGGCCTCAGAGGCGAGAGGGGTTTGTCTCTTCCTGACTGGGTGGATTCGCCTCCAGCGCCTCTGGGACGTCTCGCTGTCGGAAAGAGACTTCTTGCAGCACCCGACTCTGACGAGATGATCTCCCTCCTCGCTGGTACCACTTTGCTAGAGCTTCTGGCGCTTGTGAGGTATCTCGAAGTATGACAGAGTTCCCGCTCTCTTCCGGGAGCTGTTGGGTGCGGCAGTCGCGGGAGCTTGCTTCATTTTGACTGGGGTCCTGTTAGCAACGTACTTGGAGATGAACAAGGCTAAACTTGCTTGATTACTTGAAGTGCGTATTGATGCAACGTGCAAATCCTTCGTGCGTGCTGGCGATACTTCTGATGATGTTGATGGACAGAGAGATGTGGTTCGAACAACGGCGGTTTCAGTCGAGAGGTTGAAAGATGGATGGGAGCATTTATGGCTGGCTGAAGAACTTTGGCAGGGGAAGGACGGACGCCAACGATGCCCAGGGCGACAGGAACGACAGGTACGACAGGGACGCCAGGAAGAGAAGGGACGAACGTCAGGAGATGAATGTTGGCAATCGCGGGTTGACTCGATTTGGTAGGTACAGGTATCAATCGGCCGCCTGACCCAATGGATCGCTTGTGGCCTACTCAGAGAAGGACCCTTCTTAAGAAAGGGATTTAGAGCCAGAAGTCGCTGGATGGCGCCTGGCGTCTCTGGTGTCTTTACCGAGAAGAGGCGCTCGAGTGGTCAGCAATGGAAGGAACAAGTGGTCAACAATGGAAGGAACAAGTGGTCAACAATGGAAGGAACACTACGAGAAGTAGCAATGAATTGATGCTGCATGATGGGATGCTACTTTATTTCGATTGTGCCAGGTTCATCATCTACCCCTGCCTAGTAATATCTCAAGCTTTCGCGGAATTCCCTTGCGAAGATGCCAGTACGGAATGGGCTGCCAAATTCCTAGAGGACGATGATCTTCATGAGAAGATACTCCTTCAGGAGACCAATAGCCTCGTTCTCCTTGGTGCTGGCCTTCTGGGCGGTTTTCATCTTGCTGCTGATGAACGCCTCACCGCTAGCGACGAAGGAATCGCGTCTGATAGTCCAGTCCTTGTGGTTCTCCTCTCTTCTTGCTGCTCCTTCCTCCATGAGGGCAGCCCGCATGACAGGGTGGACTGATAGCGTCATCCGATCCTGCATCTTGAAGTAACGGAGATCCTCCAGAAGCTCTTTACCTTCCTCCAACAGCTCTTCCAGGGTGCAGTTGCCGTCGGCGTTGTCGCCGTTCACGTCTTTCTCGCCGTCGTTCTTGCCCTCACCTTCCTTGCCAATGGACTCCATACAGACGCCCTTGTTCTCAAGGTTCTTCATGGCACGCTTCTTCTTGCTGCGCTCCTTGTCGGCGAGCTTCTTCTTAGCGGACTTGGCCGTGTTGCGCTGACAGTCAGAGTCCTTATCGACAGGGGCGCTGTCCTTGGAAGTGGTGTTGAGCTCGTGCTCAAGACTCATGGCGTCAGAAGCAGGCGATGACTTGACTGCCTTATTGGCTGTGCCATCGCCGGCAATGCTGAGCGACTACGAGATAGATAAGTTAGTACCAGTAATCCTCGATGTCATAGAGCTGTCTCCCAGCTGACCGCAGTCAATGCACTCACCATCAAAGCTCCAGAGAGCTTCTCTGCTGCCTTCTTCTGGTCCATGGGCGACGAGTCGGCCTCTTGCTGCGTGGAATGCTCCTGCATCTTGAGTAGTGCTGCGATAAAAGTACCTTTAGCAGTAGAAGAGGGAAGTGGCAAGACGATGGTCATTACCTTGAGTCAAGTACCTATGGGAGAAGCAAGCTCAGTGGCAATGCGGTTTTGTGAAAGAAGGAAAATTTGCCTCCTGTTGCTGTGGTGTATTGACAAAAGGCTGTGTGGGCTGTTGCAGTCGAGGTGAGAGATTCGAAATGGCAGCAACCCGAGTGGAGCCTGGAATTCTGCAGACAGCAAGCAGGCGTAGTGGGAGTATGGCCAAAGATAGAAAGTCTCATGCGCCCGGACTTGGCCTCTCCTTCCCTTCTCTTAGAGATAAAGGTGAATGTGACCAGTGAGCCTTGATTAGACAACCACAAAAGTGATTACCAAACTTCAGAGAGCAGCAAAAGCAAAAGATGGGACACTCGTCCCCACCTCTAGGCCCTTTCCGTGTAAGAATATCGCGTGACGAGATTCGAACTTAGCGCCCCTCCAGGATAACCAGAAATCCACCTGAGGAATTTGTTTGAAGCTAAATGATTACCAACTGGGTCACGCCGTCGCTGTTGAACTGGTTGAAAGGGATGGGATGAAAGTTTTCTTAAGTAGGGAGAAAGCTGGATCGGGAAGGCAGGTAGGTGGTAGGGCTGCCGAGTGGAGCTGTGATATTGCCTGGCTCAGGTAACTGTCAAAGAGCTGTCAAAGAGATCTCGTGCTGTCGCCGCGCTTCTATGGCGTTCTAATCTGCGATAAGTATCCGTTTATCTCCTAACCTGTTTGAAGTGCCATTTTGCCGTAGCGCCCCTTTACTCCTTGCTCGCACCATATCGCATGGTCTCCAAGTAGCGCATGATCGCCTCAACCTCCTCGATCAGATTCTCTTCTCCAAAAGGCTTGTCAGTCAAGAGAGCGCCCGTCTGCTCGACGGCGGCTTCCCAGTCATTGGCAGTCGCACTCTGCTGGAGCAACTCCAAATCGTCGAAAATTTCCTTCGCGACTCGCACAATGAGCTCTTGCCACATCTGAGCTCTGTCCTTGGAGAACTGGTGCTTGGCACGTGCCGTGCGCAAAGCGAACTCCGTTGCGACTTCGGCTTTCTGGCTCTCCACGGCCTTCGGGTGCGTTAGCAAGGGGTGAAGGCGGTAAAACGTTATCATTACTTACGGTGTAGGCGGGGAGGTCCGCGTAGGCCGGGGGAACCGAGTCGTCGGCAGGCTGCTCGCGTGGACATAGGGCGCTGGGGTTTTGAGAAGTCAGCAAAGCAGCAAGAATGAAAGTCGGTGACGGCACGTTCACTACCCCCCCTAGAGCTATATCGGACAAGACTGAAGCTCTGTTGCTTTTGTAAGATGCAGACAGATGCCTTTGCGGCTCATACAAATAGGGAGCCCAATGGGAAGGAAATGACAGAGAGTGGGAGCTAGAGGTTGAGTGTGAATGTTTTCGCCCAGTGAAACGTACCAGTTTGCATGCTCACGAACAAACATGTGGATAAAAGCCTCCTTCGACCGGGCGAATCTGCTGAGTCTGGGAGCGCTCCTGACACCGCTCTTGACGCCGCCCTTGAAACCGCTCTTGGAACGGTTGAAGAGGTTGAATCTCGCCATCGTCACGTTAGAGACAGGAAAAATTGGTGGTGATGTTACGGGGAAAATAACGCCGCCCCTGGCGACTCGCAACCCCTTCATATACCTATGCTTTAACCATAGAGGTTTACCTACAGAGTTTTCTAGGTGATCCATCATGGACTTGATATATCGCAGATGGGATCCAAGAAGGTGTGGCCGCAACGGTGACCAGCTATGTGGATTGCACGGCAGCCCAGCCTGGTCTTTTCGGCCGCCAGCTTGCCCGGTGTGGCCCCACATACTATGACCACAATGTTGACACTGACTGCTAGGTAAGTGTACACTGGTCGCAGCTGTAAGCCCATGGTGCGAAGGCTTCTGCACTTCATTGGAGGGAACCAGTGGGGGGGCAAAGTGGCTTCCTTCCCAAGTGCAGCACCACCGGCCAGGAGCGCCTTCCTCAGCCACGACAACGGCCGACGGTCAGTGAGGGACCTACGCAACCAACACCATTTCTCTACAAACCTTGCTGTCTCTGATTATGGTCAAGATGGGGGATGCCGATCTCCTCAAACCCGTCGAGGCTCTTGTTCTCCCATGTTCGTCGGATCAGCGTCTTTCGGGCCCTGTCAACAAGGCCGCGGTCGATGCCGAACCTTTCACATACGACGACGCCGTCGCCCTTCATTGTCAAATCGAAGTTTTCCAGCGCTCGTACCAAAAGGAGGGATACAAGGTTCCTGACAATGCGGTGAGTTGGATTTTCTCCTTTGACCTCTCTTTCTCTTTTGTCTCTCCCTTCCTTCCGTCACTATTTGACTGCTCGCTCCGCGGGTTTTTGATCCTGTTGCTGATAATGCTTTTGCTTCCTAGTCCTCTCGAGAGATTGAACTGGCCATGATTCGAGGAACCCTCAACCTCCGCATCCACGAAATCCGTCTCGCACTCTTCCACAACTTCGTCGCCTTCCCCACCCCGACAGCTTCGTTTCCCGCCTCTCACCCTACAGCGATCCTTTTCAGAGACTACCAGAACACTCTCACCTCCGCGATCGAGGCTTGGGCGAAGTTCCTTGAAGAGAAGCGTTACCGTCGCGATGAGCAATCCCAACGCCGGCGCTAGGAGCGCGAGCGCCGCCGGGGCTCAACGTCGCAAGAGGAGTGGTGGCTGGCTGTGCGCCAAGAACAGGAGGATGCGGAGTATGACGCCGACGCAGACGATGGAGGCTCATCTGGAGTCTCCCACCCCTTTCGTCAGAAGAAGAAAGAGAGAAAAGAGCGAGTACACCTGTATCGCGCGGTCAAGGATGAGATGAGAAGACGCGGCGACTTGCTCGCTAAGGACGAGAATTTCGTCGATACGGGTGCGCGCCGCCGAAGTAACTTCAGCCTCCCTGAGCACGTCAAGACAAAGGACGACCTGCTTATCTACCTCAACCAGCTCGGTCTGCGCTACACGCCCCGCACGGCTACACAGAGACGCCGGTCGAGACTTCGAATGCTCGTGGCACCTTGATAGATCGTGGTCTGCAGATGTTGAGAGTGCTTGAATGCGAAGTTTATGATATCGGAAAGTGTCTGGAAGGCTTCTGGCATGAGGACAGTATTCGACAGTTGAGGATGATGGGTTAGGGGAAAATACTGTTGCACTTGGGATTTCGTCTACGAAAGAATGATAAATGGAAATTGGTGTGATAGCAGACCAATCGCACCGTAAGACCCTTTCAAGTCATTGTTCTACTTTCTTGCGAACTTGGGAGGGAAAATGCGTCCGATTACCAAATCCAAGTTATCCGAATTACTCGCCGCAGAGGCTCAGCAGCTTCGGAGCCGTCGATATCATACCCCAACTATTACCGAGTATTTTCGCTCGCGCGAAAGTGTCAACAATTGCTAATTCCGGGTGTGACACCCCTTTCATATTCGGTGTTTGCGGTCCTGGTGTGGATATCGATCGCAACCTTCGTCCCCTGTCGTCGGTCCCTATCCTCGTCGTCTCTGCTATCGTCGTCGTTATGTATCATCACCGTCCGCCCGAAGAGCAAATCTCAGTGAAACTCTCAGTGAAACTGCGGAAAGTACAGTACAAACGATGATTTTGGCCTGCTCTATAACTAACAAATAAGACATTGTAGTGCGGGCTGCCCTTGCTCCTTCTCAACCCCTCACGTTCTAGTCACGAATGCATGAGTCTTCGAATCTAACACGGCCTCTTTGGAGATGTCCTTTCCGTCAGAAGTCTTGGTGGTCCCCTCTCCAAGCTCCTCGTCCTCCAGCTTCGTGTCGTCCAGCATCTCCGGATTAATCGCCCTGGACCCCTTCGGAATAAACGTGGCGAGCAGGACGATGGCGAAAATGACAGTAAACTGCACGCCGGCAGTGTAAGTCAGGGCTGTGCTGACTTCCCCCAATCTATTGTACATTGCGTCGATATATCGTCCGAGGAAGGTGCTGGAAATTGCGTAAGATACGACATAAAATGAGTAAAGGAATGCCATGACAGCTGCCAAGGGCGATACGTTGTGCTCCTTGTTCTCGAGGCGAGCCAGTGAAGCCTGGATGTATGCGGCAAGCGAGACGTCACCAGCAGCCCATCCAAAGCTAATGGGGAGGAACGTAGCGGCAACGATCCAAGCCTGTCCGACTTGTCTGGATGGAGGATTCCAGTAGGGGATGTACCAGACGATGAGCAACAGCAGAGCGTCCAGCCGGAGCCACGGGATGGGCGTCTTGATCACGTTGGTAAACAAAAAGACGAACAGCGCACCCAGCAGCTCTCCGAAGTTCGAACCACCGACCATGATCTGCGACCAAGCCGATTCGTCGAGGTATCGTCGGGCAACCTGTGGGGCGATGCCGTTCTCGAGGTATCTGTGAGCGTACAGCGCGACGCCGTAAGCAGGCAGGAGCCACACAAAGCGACGGGAGCTGAAGATGATCTTCGCGCCGACCCAGATGGACTCAAAGAAGGTGAGGAAGCCCCTGCCAACGGCGACAAAGTAGTTGGAGCTCTGAGCCTCGGCGCGGGCGAGTGCGTTGCGCTCCTCGCTGGCGTCGACGACAAAGAACCAGAGAACGGCAGCGAGGGCGAAGCAGATTGGCGTGATGACGAAGGAGCGGTTGTTGCCCAGGTTCGGGATTAGTACCAGGGCAGTCACGAAGGCGCCGGTGGTGCCTGCGACTTCGTAGAATATGTGCACCATGGCGTCCATCTGGCGGAGCTTCTGGACGTTGCCGCCGACGATGTCTCTCGGGATGACGCGACGGATGAGCTCGACCATGCCGTATGTGATGCCTGCGATGGCGTAGATGGGAATGATGGTGTCGTTTGGGTAGTTGCCGTAGTATGGCCAATAGTCTTCCGGGTGGTTCTTTCGATATTCTGAAGGGATGAAGGTTCCCCCCGTAGCGGCGTCGAGGATGAGGAGGATGGCCGTCATCAATCCAAATAGTAGGATGGCTGCTGAAAGTACGTTTTTGGTCTTGTAGTGCTTGATGAGGGGTCCGATGAGGATAGATCCGACGCACTGAGTGGCCTGGTTCAGCCCTTGGATCAGGCCCAGTCGCTCGAAGGTTCGCGACGGGGTTCCGTCGGTGGTGCTCTCGTAGTCGTATCTGTTGGTGACCAGGGCAGTAATAGATCCGTTGAACGCCTCTAAGCCGAATTTATAGAGCATGATACCGCAGATGTAGAAGAAGATCGCCTTGCGCTCTTGGGGCGAAAAGGACCGGAGCCTCTCGCGAAACCCATTGAAGACCATGCTGGGCAGTGGCGGCAAGGACGGTCGAGGGCGACAGTGACGAGGACGATGGTGGCGACTGGTAACAGTGACGAATGTTAACAGACCGAGTAATCGTGATGGGAGCTCTTCGCCGTGTGCTGATTGTTAAGGGCTGCAAATAGGATGAGAAGTAGGAAGGATATGTCGCATTCTTATTCTCAGCTTCTTTGGAAACCAGCAGGGTAGTTGGTGTTTCCCGCCAGGTGCGCATGGCAAAGCTGACGTGACGCTGATCCGAACGTCTCCATTTCTGGTATATCCAAATCACAACGCTCGGCATTCCTCAATGTTCATCGACTCGCTGTTCAGTAGTGTTCATCCCTCATGTTTTCTTGGCATCCGTACTTGGCCAAGACTCACCACCATACATCCCCTCACGTTGCCAAGAATCGGGCGGCCTCTTCGTCCCAAGATTTGATGGGTACTGAGCATGGAAGGAGCAAAATTGATGAGAACCTGGTGAGCCACTTGAAAGTTTCGCTTCTGCAACGTGCGTCGTAATCAGAGAACGCGTGTGAAGCTGCCTCACAAGGTTGTTGGTGGCGCAACTTGAGGAACCTTGGATCAACCAATATAGATAAGGTGTTTATGTTGGATGCTTGCTCATTGGTTGTATTCATGGCTCTTTCTCAGAAAAGCAGATGACGATGGTAGACGATGACAGTGGGCGGCGATAGTGGCCGACGACGACAGTAGAGGCGAAAGCAGAGGCGACGGCGACGACGAAGACGACGACGCAACACAAAGAGAGAAAAAAACTGCCATGTGCTCAAACGGTTGGATGGCAGTTTCTCAAGTACTCTGGGGTTTTGCGCCATTTTGCTAAATGCCAAGCCACGCCAGAAGCATAAGAAGCGGCCATCTCGCCCTCGCCCGGCTTGCCAAGAGCACAGCATTTGCCAAGACATTGAATTGCCATCATATCGCTCAGCAAACGACGACATTATTGGACTGCCGAACAAGCATTCGAGCGACAACACAGCCTCCTTCGACAATCACCCAATCAGTCAATTTGACACTCGATCGTGATCTTGGACGTCCTGATGCACAGCCCCCTACCACAATAGACGACGATAGCAGACGACGACAGTGGATAACAGCAGCAGAGCTGACAGCGACGGTCGAAATGGCAGCAACAGCAGAAGCGGCGATAACAGCAACGAAGACGGTAGAGAAGATAACGTAGTGGCCAGCATGGTGCGGAGAATTTGAACGCGAATAGTCAGAACAGGACCGCGAGCGAGAGGTTGAACCTTTTCAAGCAGTTTGTGAGAAAGATGTTTCCGCGGTGTGGTCTATGCCGTGCAAAGCCTCTCGTGATAGAGGGTCCCATCAGTCGACAAAACATTGCATCTGAAGGTATCTTGGAACTTCGGTCTGATGTCTCGGGTGCCTCAACTTGGCGTTTTGAATGTGCCCTGCTTTAATAGTCGGAGTGTCTCGATGCAATGTGGCTGGAGCACGCCTTGAGGGGACACTCTGCAATGCACTCCAGAACTCGACGCGACCCGAACCAACGCATAGAGCGGCCACTCGGATGAACTGGCGCAGACCGACGGTCAAACTTGAGCTGCCTTCGCGGAGCCGGAGCAATCCCGAGTGGGGCCGACCAGCGGAGTTTGAGACCCGGCGCGACCACCGCGGCGGACTTCGCACGCCGCGGGACCCGGGGCTTACAAAAAGACATCTGGATGTCTTCATGCAGAACTTGAGACGACGAGAAATCCGGTGTATATAAGTCATTTGGCGTTCACGATGTTTGAGATTCAGATCAAACAACAAAACGTACCCAATAAAAGCGTCTCAACATCAAATCCACCATGACTTACACCATCACCATCGTACCCGCCTCGACCCAGGCCGGAAGAGAGACCATCATGACCCTCCTAAGAGATGCTTCAAAGCCCATTGTTCGTGGCATTTATCGCGATCCGAGCAAGGCACCTCCCGAGTTCACCGCCAGCTCAAACTTCACCGCAGTCCAAGGCGACGTGTCCGCCAGCCGCCTGGACTTCACCGGCTCAGACGCCGTGTTCTACATCCCTCCGCCTCCATTTCACTCTGGCGATGTCGATCTGATTGAATTCGCTACGAACGCAGCGAAGAACGTCAAAGACGCCATTGAGGAAGCGGGCTCGGTCAAGAGGCTTTTGGTGTTCTCAGCCTTGGGGGCAGAGAACGACCACGGCATCGTCAGCATAGCAAGATTCGCAGGCTTTGTAGATGAGATCTAACTGACGACGTTTTCAGGGCATCCTCAAGATCAACCACATCTCAGACCAGATCCTCAAGACCGCCGCGCCGGAAGTAGCCATCGTCAAGCCGGGCTACTTCGCGGAAAACTGGACCGCGGCGTTTGAGACCGCCAAGGCTGAGCCGCCTGTGCTGTACTCCCCGCTGACCCCGGCCAGCCACAAAGTCCCGATGGTAAGTTTCCCTCTTAACTTCCCCTCTTCTTCATCTCCCACCTGATGTTGACTGTCTCGCAGGTCAGCCTCGTCGACATCCGCGAAACCTGTGCACGCATCCTGCTTGACCTCGCAACCCTGTTGCCCCAGCGCACTCACGCCTTCGAGCTCTACGGGCCTCGACACTACAGCACGGAGGACGTCCGCGACGCGGTCGAGGAAATCACCGGCAAGAAGGTCGGCATCGTGGCGATTGAGGTGGACCAGCTGGCAGGGTTCTACGCGCAGGAGGGCATCCCGACTGGGTTGGTGCCGGAGATGGTGGAGTTCACGACTGCTGGGCTGCCGGGCGGGATTATGGAAGGAAAGTTTGGCGGGAACGAGGATACGGTTTGGGGCAAGGTTGAGCTGGTTGATGCGCTGCGAAGAGTGAACAAGGCATGATGGTTGTGACGGATTCTAAGCATTGGTATCAAGTCTAGGTTCGCCCAGCAGGTCTAAATCAATCTAATTCTCCAGCATAGCAATTGCAGTCTTGCCGGAAACGGGCCCGTCAGTGGGTACACATCAACGGCCCAAACCCATCCGACCACCTCATGCCCCCCATGATAATCACCATGATCGCAAAGCCCGCCACAACGCTCGCCATACCATAGATGTACGCATGCCGTCTCCTCAACGCCGAGAGCTCAGCGACCCACGTCGACACGGTCGTCAGGCACCCGCAGAACCCGTCCTCGATGCCCTGCAACACCTGACACCCCACCAGCCCCCCGAGCTCAGCATGCCCGAGATCCCAGCACATGCCAAGGACGGCGACGCCGCTGATGTTGACCGCGAACGTCCCGAGCGGGAACGCCGGGATGCGCGAGTTGAGCAACATGCTGACGTAGAACCGCCCCAGACACCCCAACGGCGCAAAGACGAGCGAGAACAGGGCCTGCCCGCGCCAGGCGTCGTGAGGGGGCCAGATGGACATCAGCACGGCGCCGATCCAGCAGCCCCAGCCCAGGACCACGGCGACGCGGTCAAAGACCTTGCGGCCGAGCGAGTATGAAATCGAAGGGGTGATCGGCTCCAGCGCGGCGCCGAGGTGGGCGCCCACGAACAGCCCGCAGAGAGATAGCCCGACGGTGCTGATGATCACGGCCATCATGGCCATGAAGGAGTACCCGCCATTCCTCGGCACGGGGCTCACGCCACCGGCGCCAGGCAGATCGTTGCTCATGGCGAGGAATACGTCCCGGATGAACGACGAGAAGGAAGTGAATGACCCGCAGAACCCCGTTGCGAGGCCGATGTACAGCGGAATCGTTTTTTTGGTCGCCAGATGCGCCTTCTTCGCCGCCGCCAGATCCACCGACACGGCGTTCCCCCCAGCATCCCTCTCCCGGCGCGCTTTGCGGATCTGCTCGTCGTAGGTGGGCGTGCCCCATTCATGCCGGAAAAGCTTGCGGTCTTCGGCCAGGAAGCCCATGACGAGGCTCCCGCCGACGTTGGCCCAGAGGACGCCAAAGGACACCGGGGCGTCGGGGTACGTCGTCAGCGCCTGCAGCCCAAGCCGCGCGAGCGTGCCGAGGATGGCGAAGAAAACGAGGTACGAGACGGTGTAGATCTCCGTGGCGAGCTTGGAGACGTGCTTCTTGAGGGGCTTGTCTTCCGACAGCGGCGGCGAAGTCCCAGCCGACCCGTTCGGCGCTGCGTGGCCGTCTTGCATCTCGATGTCGTTCGTCCGCCGTTCCCCGCTCCGTATCTGCTCGAGGCTGGGCTTGCCGACACGGCTTCCCGACGGACTGTGGCCCACGGGGTCCGCGACCAGCTCGTCGAGGTTGCCATATCCCGCCGGCGCGTCGTACTCGACGTCCTCGTCCCGCGCATCGTCGTCGCTTGTCGTGCCCATCAGCAAGGGCCTGCCAAACGTGCCCCTCCGCTCGAGGTTAACCTCCTCCCCCTCCTCCGCCACATGGTAGAGCTGGCCCGGTCCTCGCTCAGCGTCATGTGCGGGCCTGAGTTCGCGGGTATTGCCGTTTTCCATCCTGTGTGACATTCGCTTCGGAGCGATGCATGACGGCCCGGGTTCGAGATGTCTATGCCGTTCTGCGTCGCGTCGTGTTTTGCGCGCGGCGAGTCGTTTCGTCTTCAGCCTTCGCAAAGACTTGTGATCGGCAAGAGGAGCATCTCTGCGAGAGAAGAGAAAAGAGCCAGAAGTAAGAAAATGTCGCGCCAAATTAGGGTGGATGGAATGCTGGCACGTTGCTGCGTGGACGTCACAATTTTGGAGCTCTGGTGGACGGGTAGAGCGGCTACGTCGGCATGGGCGGCTGGGAAGTCCTGATAGCGCTGTGTGCTCACCGGTGGTCAGAGCGCTGCTGTGGGGTGCTCTTCACCGAAAAGGCGGAGTACACCGAGGTGTGACATCAACAATGGGATTTGGGGGGTCCATCCGGTCTTGGAGGAAAGGGAATGGCATCTCCCTCAGACGATACCACAAAGATTGAACACATCAACTCAAGAAGAACACGTTTCTAATATCTACGATGCCTATCGAGCTTCCTCCCCCTCCAGCCCCTCCAACCTCCCCCACCTGCATTGTGTTCTATCTGCCAGCCAGCGCCTGCAGGGCGGCGACCTCCGACGCCTCACCGGACGCCGGAGTTTACCTCCAGTGAGGAGTGAGCACCAGCCAGTCCAGCTGGCCGCGGGCGGGCGGGCGCCAACGTGGGCTTACCTTATCTTATCAAGCCCCAAGCTGCCCCTCCAATCCATGCACGATGCCCCACATAAGGTACCGGCGCTGATCAGGAGGACAAGGGACGGACGTCGAGCCCGGGGGCGGGCGGCGCGCGAACACCCCTCCTTCCATTGGGAGGTAAGGTAGGTTCCTTAGGTAAGTCCGTCTCTCCCAGCCTCTGAGACTTGTTTCTGGCGGTCTATTTCTGTCGGCCTTCTCTTTGACTTGGTTCTCTCTTTCTTCAATTCCATCTGTACTCTGTTCTCGTGGATTGCTTCGGGTTTATTGCGTTTGGTAGTATTGAACAAGAAGAAAACCATATCCAACAACGATGTCGCTCCCTTCCAACGTGCACGTCTCCCAGCACCCCTGTCTGCGGGCGAAGCTCTCCCAGCTGCGATCCAAATCGACCGCCGCGAAGGACGTGAAGACGCTCGTCCACGAGATCGGTCTGATCGTAGCGACGGAAGCCCTCGCTGCTTCCACCAAGGCGACAGATGGCCCCAAGGTATGTTCCCGCTTCTTTCTGGCGTGGTCCCAGAATCGCAAGGTGCAGTGCTGATTGCCCCTCCAGGATGCGACACCGCTAGGCTTCGAGTTCACCTCGACCGAAATCTCCCCCTCTCGCCTCTGCCTCGTCCCAATTCTCCGCTCAGGTCTCGGCATGGTCGACGGTATGTATACCCCCTCTCCAGCACCCATCGCAAGGCAAACTAACCGAACCCCGCGCGCAGCCGTCCAGACGATCCTCCCAGGCCCCGTCCCCGTCCACCACCTCGGCCTCTACCGCGAGCCCTCCACCCTCGAGCCCGTCGAGTACTACAACAACCTCCCTAACCACATCTCCGCCGACGGCTCCAACCCGGACGTCAGCTCCCTCGCCATCATCCTTGACCCCGTCATCGCCACCGGCGGCACCTGCGCCGCCGCCATCCAGACGCTGCGCGAGTGGGGCGTCCAGCGCATTATCGTCATGTCCGTCATCGGCGCCGCGGAGGGCGTGAAGCGCGCCGCGGGCGAGTGGTCCGACGCCACCGAGATCTGGATCGCGGGCGTCGACGAGGAGCTGACGCCCAACGGCATGCTGAAGCCCGGCGTGGGCGATGTTGGCGACCGCTTGTTCTTGACCATCGGGAAGTAGGAGGTGGTAGATGAAGGAAGAGTGCGTGCTGGATTGCTTTTGGTGAGTTTCTTGGCACCGGACGTGGCATTTTAGAAGGGAATCTTGGGGTGCTGGAGTTGAATATAATGTCATTTCATCCTGGGTATCTCAGTCTTATCATGATTTGAATGGCATGCCTTGAGCCAACCCCCCGTTACATCTGCGTGTACTTCTCTTCGTCAACCAAAGTCTTCTCTCTCCAGCAGTCCTCAACCCAGTCGCCAGTGACGATGTGGGGAATCTTCCGCCTTGAGCTGACTTCCTTTCTCAGGTCTTCTGCTGCCTGTCTTTGCTGATCTACATCCCCAACTACCACGATGTGCGTTGCTTGTTCATCCTCCACGTCGGGTGTCAACCGAGCCCCGCCAAATCGAAGAAAGTTTCTCAGCCTCAGGACTTTGACATCGTCTTCTCCAGCATCATTCGCGTCGTGCAGATGCACCAGGCAGCGGTGGAACATCGCTCCCTTCATGTCACCCACGCCGTGGCCCCGCTCCTCCAGCTGCTCCAGGAAGTGCGCCTTGTTGAACGGCTCCATATCCGGTTCCTTCTTCGGCACCTCTTTGAACACTTGCCGAAGCTCATCGACACCGATGTCCCGAGCATAACTATCACCATACATATCCGTATTTTGGATAGCGGCAGTCTTCAGAGCCTCGGTGGCGTGCAGGATATGCCGCTCTTCGTATGGCAGGAGGTAGTCGTCTTCTTGTGATTGTGAAAGGCAATCCTGCAGCCACCTAGGCCGGATAATATCCACACCGCCTAGCTTCTGTCCCTCCTTCACCAGACTGGCGACCTTGACCACATTCTTGTCGGCAAGCAGGATCATGTCTGACTGTGGTACCGCCCGCTGGGAAATCTGCCCGCCATTTTCCTTGATCAACGTCTCGAGCTGCGCCTTGGTTTTCTTGAACGGCTTCAGCGACTCGGACAACACGCAGAACTCCAGCCCCTCGAAAACCTTGGTCTTCTCGCCCGCAAACTGCACAGGCGTGTTTTCCGTTCCGGCGATGGTCAACTCCCGCTTGATTCGCTTGGGCGCTCTCCGCTTGCGATTCTCAACGCTCATCGTTTTCTCTTTGGCTTCCGCCTCGACGCGCTTCCGAAGATCCTGGAATTCTTGCACACTAAGCCCTTCGTTCCAGTTCTTGTCAGGTCGCAGCTTGCGGAAGCGCGGGAATCGGAGGGTGAACCCAAGGGCGAATTGGTCAGAGCCACCAATACTTGCTGCTTTCGCCTCGAGGACGAAAGAGTCTCGGGGTCGGATCCAGACATCTGGCTTCTCGAACTGGCGGCTGTCTCCTGCTAGCTCAATGTACTCCACTGGCGGCTTTCTTGAGTCCCAGTTGTTCCATTTGCCTTCTGTTCGGTGACGGATCTCGGCGTAGTCCTCGGCCTTGAAGCCGCCTCCAACCTTGAAGAAACTGAAACACTTCTCCGGGTTTGCGCCTGCCTGGATGTGGTTCTCGCTGACACGGAGCCCGCAAAGGAAGCTGGACAAAGCACCGCCACGGCGTCCGGAGCCGTAGTAACCGCCAATGACGACGC